TACAAAACCTTACTCCGTCTACTGTCATCTCTGGACGTCATGATGTATTGGATACACGAACATTCTCTTTCATGTGCGAATATGGATATGTTCCAAATATTAGGGGGTCTTAAAGCAGCTGAACTGTTAGGTTCGGATGAAGACTGATGCTCTAAGCTTTTGTCTTCGCGATTAGTTGATTATCATTATAATCGGGTATAGACCAAAGAAAAGGCAAATAAGAGACTATGGGTAAGTCTGCCCGGCTTTGGGAAGGATGAGCTTTTGGGTGAGCTAGACTTTTGTGCTTGACACGATCATCCCCTGATTTGAGACTTCTGCAAGATCAAAGCTAATTAGACGCCAGGGGTTCAGCATGCAGGCAATTCTCGCGTGCGGCGCGTACGTTGGGGAATTATGGTGATTGGCTTGCACACCAATTGTCAGCATTCTTGCTTTTGCCGCATGGTGAAACTTACGAACTGTTTCCCTTTCGGCAGGTAGTTGTTCTCCAAGACTGTCAACAAAGAATTCATCTCGCTCAGCATCCTTATGGGTTGGCGCCTTCCGCACGATGAACGAAACCTTCATAACCATCTACGCTGCCATATAACCTCCGAATGCATATATTCAGGATAGACATCACCGCATTTGGGACCGGACGACGCATCGATGTTTCTTTTCTCATCTTAATCGGATCTCTGTTTTATCTCCACTCGCTTTCCATCCTTCTACTCCTAGTGTCTCGGAACCGAACCAACTGCCGTCTATCCTTTTGCTGTCTCCGACTCACCATACATCAACAATAAAACAAAGAAAGCCACTTCTTCAACACACAAATGCCAATGGCCCTTTTTCAAAAGTTTCTAACTCTGACCCTGGCACTGGTGCCAATCGCCCAGGCTACGGATCGTGCAGTATTTGCGCATTACATGGCGAGCATACCATCCCCCGTAGCCACGAGTGAGTAAGCCCTGATCAACCCAACCAGGTCGGCACCACCACAAAGGACCATATCCATCAGGATGTCAATGACGCGATTGCGATGGGTCTCGATGGCTTCGCCTTGAATGTCCAATGTCCGACCGATGCGTTCGCCAAGGACCTAATCCAAGAGATGGGACGCTACATCGAGGCGCAGAAGCTCCAATTTGGGATCTTCATCAGTATGGATGTGTACGCGTCGGGAGGGGCATCGTGCGGCGGCGCAGGCGCAGCCGACTACGTTTCCCTGTGTCATTAGACGATGGCGCTCGAGGCGTACTACCAGGTTGACGGCAAGTATGTGGTCAGTACGTTTACCTCAGGTGGGGGCACGTGGGCGACGTGGGATCAGTTCAAAACCTCGTTATCTGACCTGGGGTTCGAGGTGTATTGGCTCCCGGACCTCGACGACACGGAGGGCTACTGGGACAGTCAGGCGGGCTGGTGGAATGCGTGGGGAAATCTCACTGATGGCCTCTTCAGTTGGGAATCTGCCTGGCCAAGTCTGGGGCAACGGGCTTCGAAACAGACTGGTGGGCTGGGAGGAATTGTCCGGGATCAAGTGGTGATTGATGCGGCTGCTAGACAGGGTGCATCCTATATGATACGTTTGTCTTCCTATGTGCCTCTCCGGTCTGGGGTTGTTCGCTGACTGTCAACAGCCTTGAGTCTTATGCAGTACAAGAATTCGGTATGAGCAACTTTCTCAATCATGTCACTCAAGGAAGATTTGGGACTGACTAGACTGAGCAGTATGGAACAAATATCTATCGCCAAGGTGGAGAGAATCTCATCCAACGCCTGAGCGATATTTTGGACATCCAGAGTGACACGTTGCAGTTCGTTGAATACATTACTTGGGTAAGAGTCATCTGTTTCGGATTTGAATATTAGAATATCATGCAGAAGTAACTTAAGTAGAACGACGGTCCCGAGGGACACTATCTGGGAAATCTTTGGCCGGAACAGAATGGCGATGCTGCGCTGAACAACTACGCCAATTTGACAATCTGGCCTCATACAGGCCTGCAGTCGCTCATTCACTCGTTTGCGACCGCTTTCAGGGCGTTTCAGGGCCCATCTGAAATGAGACCTCAGAATGGGAATGAGGCAGCTGGCGCCATATGGTACCAGACGCCGGCCTTCGATAAACTTTGTCCTTTTGAGGACATCGGGGAGCTCACTACCACCTTCTGGAAAAAGCCCGCAGGATACGAGACATTTTCTAACACGACTCAATGGGCGTTTGTGCTCAACGAGACAGTCAGAGGTTATAATCCAAGCGAATTGGCGCTTTTCATCACCACTGGTGATGGTGTTCAGGTGATCGCCAGCAATCTGACTACTGGCCTAAATTTCGCTCAAGGTCCATATGTGCATGGCGGGAGCGATGTTACCATGGTGCTAGCTCCTATTTCCGGTGGTGATATCCTTTACCATGCCTCTGGAGGTAAATGCCCTGATTCCTTTTGCAGTGATGGATTCTATAACCTGAACTATCAGGTCTTGCCACTGTTACCGGGGAACACGACCACCAGTTGTATTTATAAGTCCTCTGTTCTGCGATATATCCCTTGGAACAGCGCAAATGTGACAAGTGATTGTCAGCAGTTACTGATGGATGCATCGGCCACGGACTCCTGGTATGCTAGTCAAGCTGGGCTGGCGTTGGAATTCGAGACGACTCGTCATTCATTGTCCACTCGCCGTGCTCTGACAAGCACACTCCCGAACCTCGATGCCCACTTCAATGCTTTCGATGGGGTCAATGTCACGAATTGTGCGGATCTCAACGATAACAGCTCCTGCTCAATACCTGAAACTTGCCCTTTGGTTACTGACCATGTGCCATATTTTTTTGCTCGGCGCTCTTTCGCAATTTTTCAGCGGTGCCTGCGGGACATGGCTTCAGATGTGTTTGGAGATAATCTCATATCCGCTTTGAGAGTTGACGATCTAGCCAACAATATAAGTCGGTATCTGATACTGCAAAATGACGAAGCCGGTTTGGACAGGGTCATAGGTGCCGTAGCTGCCGGACTTACTGTCCTCAGAAACGGGCTCGGTCCTATCGACAGCTTCGCCAGCTCCTTTGCAACACTGCTCGGCGGGATGTTCAGTACAATATCCGCTGTCCATACTCCCACCGACCCTACAAACAGCAGTGCCTTTTTGTCCGATCCTGCCAATGCTTTTAAAGCTCGTTTTCTCGCCGGATTTCAGCAATACAATAACAGCGTCTTTCAGCTCGCCCAGGCAGTCTTCGTTACCGGCAATCTTTCCTCCTTCCCTAGCTATGCACTTGACACATCCAGTGACCGATTTGGAGCCTACTACACTACCCGGCTCCCTAAATTCTTTGCCGGAGGCCGCTTCGTCGACCCCAACATGGCCTGCAATAATGTCGTCGACGAGCTCATCCTTCCTATCCAGCAGGTCCTGCTCGGTCTTCTACTCGCCAGCGCGAACGTGTATATCGTCCAAAACGGTCACTCTGTCAAGGAATGCGCTTCAACTTGGGGAGGTGTGGTGCTAGACCAGGACGCTGGCGGCCCCGTGTGCTACACGCTTGAAATCCCCGGATCGGGGGCATGCAGCACGGACATCTCCGGACCGCTCAGCCGCAACGTCTCGGACCTGATGTATAACGCTTATAAGATTAACCAGACCGCTCTGATTAGGAGCTCCCTACAATGCCAGTCGATGAACAACCGCTATCATGCAGCTTACACCCCTCTCAGCACAATTATTCCCGGGTCCGAATACTCGACCTCCTCCCTCCCGCCGTGTTTCTTCAACCTGCCCGTCTTATACACCAACTATACTGCAAATCCAAATCTTTCGGGTGAGGGGATATCGGGCACTCCCTGCCAGGTGCGGAGCGGTACTTCAGCAGACGCGGTAGGTCACTATCTTCCGTCGAATCTGGCTGGCGTGTTCACCGGCGAGTTTTGTGCCCGTGCGTTTACGCGAGCAAAGTCATTATCTTAAATAGCAAAGGCCTAATGCTGGCAATGGACCGCACACCTCCCGGCGGACGATATTCGGCTCCTAGGAATGCAAGAAAGGAGTTTGTCCCAAGGGATATGGCGTAGATGACTCGCAAGAGGCTGTTTTGGCCCAGGGTCATTTTCCATGATGATGGCCATGTTGCCGAGGAGAGAAGAAAGTAAAGAGCGAGGAAGGGGTTGGAGGGTGAGGCTCAGGGTTGAGAGAACTACGACTCTCGCTTACGCCTTCAGCCACTTCGAGGCGACAAGCATCGAGCATGCTGGCGCCGTGATCGGGTTTGTCAAACGTAGGTCAAGTCTCCGCTCTTGTCTTCCGTAGTGTAATACTCAATGTAGTTCTCTCGGGTTTTGGAGGGAGTAGGCATTCCGACCCGGTGAAAGCTCTGCGTTGGCACAGACTTTCGCTCTTTCACCCCTCGTCCGATACATCTAATGAATAGCTGGCAACGTCAAATCACTGATCAGCGTCAAGACGCAATATGAGCCTATGTTGAGTAGAGTTTGAGAGTTTGACAAACGTATTGAATGCTTTCTCCTCAGGTTGATCACGGCCAGTGACCCAGTTGACAATGATTTAATCGTTGGTTGGCTAAGTGGTTCTGGAAAGGTGATCAGGGCCTGAAAGTGATGGAAACTAAGAAAATTATGAGGAAGCGAGGCAGGCCAGAGAGCTGAGCAGTGCCAGGAAGGCGAATGGGAGGTCGACAACTTAGTGTACAACAGAAGATAAAGAAGTGAAAAGCCAACTGGGAGAAGAAATGAGACATCGATGCCTGAGGTGGCAAATAACCATGACAAACACAACATACGCACTACCATGAGTGAGAGCAACTCTCTAGTGTTATCTCCCTTACACTACATGAATCTGTTTCGCCTTCTTTCCAATCTCTGGCTTGCCACGTTCCTTTACCTCCTCCTGATCCGATCAACTGCACATGAATGTCCGTCCAGATGGCCCACAAGCGTAACGAGTCTGAAGATCACAAGGACACAGTCAACGGGTTTGTCTACAAGAGGGCAAAAATGGGGGGATACTCCGATTTCGCTCTGGAGTGTGACGGTGTCAAGATTCCCGTCCATAAAGTAATCGTCTGCTCTCAGATACAAGCATTCGCAGCTGCCTGCGCCGGTGGCTTCAAGGTCTGATCTGAAACGCCCAATCAAAACTAACTACCACGAAAACTGACTTCTATCAAGGAGGGTTGTTCCGGCATCTATCGCATTGAAAAGTTTCCACTATTCTCAGTACGCAACCTGGTACAATTTCTCTATACCGGAGACTATGATCTCACCAACGACGCCGGTGTGTTCTCACGAGGCCAACTCTGACTTCTCATGGCTGGAACCAGGCTAACTGCGATTTCTTTGTATGGCAGATAAGGGTCCTTCAGACCAGAGCCCCGTGCTGCCTCCCTCTCTTTCTCCCTCCGCCGCCACTACCGCTGCTGTTACCACTGCTGCCGTCGTCGCAGATCTCTCGAAGAACCTTGTTGCGCACATCCATATGGCCGAGATCGCGGATTACTACCACGTGCTGGGACTCAACGAGCTCGTTCACAAGAAGGTTGACGAGACGCTGCGACTGCCGTGGTCCCCGGAGGGCTTTGCTGACGCGGTGAATATGGCTTTCAAGATTGCCGATGACGACGTACTTCGCGAAAGGCTTGCAGCGACCGTCGCCGACCATCTCGACGATTTTTTAGGGACCGACAATCGCATCAATCTCTTCACGCACGATGCGTCCTTCCGAGTGCTGAAAATCTTGAACGGAAAAATGAAAGACTCGGAGAGACGGGCTAAGGAATCGCAGAGACGGGCCAAGGAATCGCAGAGACGACTTGAGAAGTCGCTTGAGCTTCAGACTGGCCTCGCACAGCAATTGCGAAGCGAGCGTGAGTTGGCAAATGGGTATCATTTCGTCGTGACTCATTACCAACAGGGATCTACTGTTGAAGTCACCAGCACCTGCCTGAAGTGTCGGGCTGTTGCGACTAAAATCTACCATCCTGGCGGTTTCAGCATCACGTGTAATTGCCGCGCGGCGTTGAATCCATGATCGATGGTCCCAGTTCCTTCATGTAGGGAAGGAAGTCTGCGATGCGGTGGCCACTTTATAACTGTGCATATGTTGATCGTGACACCAGGTGGCGTGTCTACAGGGCTGTATTCAAATGAAGGGAGACTTCGGACATCCATAAATTGTTTAGCGTGGTTCGGGGAAAAGATAATAGTAGGCAGCCTAACATAAAACAAATGACACAACATTTCTGGTGCGTATAGTCTTAAATATGACAGTGTTCGATGTGGTTAAAGATGAAGAGGTCCATCGGCCGAATGGAGTCCCGCCATGAGAAGTCTCACAAGTGTCTTGAATGGTGTTATATCTTAGGGACAAAGCAACTGGCGCTTCTTCCAGCAAATCTTACCGCCCTTCTCTCAAACTGGTTTATCGCACCAGAGCTCGCAGACCCACCACCCGTCCCCACCATCTGACCACAGATCCTCGCCAGTTATTGGTGATGGCTGGCAAAAAGACAAAAAAAGATGGAGCTGCGGGGAATCGAACCCCGGACCTCTCCCATGCTAAGGGAATATTATACCACTAAACCACAGCCCCAATTGATGTCTAATGAGAGCAATAGTTGCATCTATGGATCTATTCTGAATAAAGATGATGAAATCCCTTCGCAAAGGGAAGGGGTGGGGAAACCGAGCCACATTGGATAAGATGGTGTGCGGATTGGTCTCTGGTGGTGAGTGGTCATTGTTCTTGCGCACCCTATCTGCTCGATTGAGTAAACAAATATGTGAAATATGTATGAGTGTGTGCGGTGTACTTTCTGGGACTTGGGAGGTGAATTCATTAGATTAGCGATAATTGTACTCATGGCTTCACGGCCGATACCCTCCTTTTAAAGGAGATTTTGTACTCTCTCTTATCCTGGTATTTCCTTCCAGGTTGTTTTCTTTTCTTTCCTAGTTTTGTCAAAGCGCGACCAAAGATATCAGAATATCAATAGACGTACTGAGATTGTGGTCTACTGAGATATGCAGCTCAGACATTCTCATGCCGGCAGACGTACTGTACTCCGGGACAATGACCACACAGCCCGCAACTCGCCTATTCATCCAAGTGCATGGCGTCGTCCTCGATGCTTTCGACCACGTCCAGGTCCATGAGTTCTAATTTCTCCACCAGTGACACAGAAGGATCAACAGCCTCGCCTTCAGTCGCCGTAGCGGAAGCCGACGGCTTAGGCCTATCGCACGGCCGCGGATCCCCGTAGTGAACGTCCTTGTTATGCTGGATGAGCAAGTGCGCCGAGACGAACCCCTGCACCGGCTCGCAGAGGTCACACTGGTAGATGAGGATCTCCGCGTGTGCTGTGGTATGGTGGCGATAGAAGTGCTCGAAGGTGTCAAACGGTCCCTGCCTGCAGACCCCGCCCGTGACGCGGTCCTCCCATTGACAGAAATACTGGCGCGTGGCCGCCCCAAAAGCGAAAGCATACATCCCGTCGGAATAGGGGAGGCCGCGGCGCGGGGAGCGGCCGGGCGCGGGGCGCCGGGCCGCCTCCTCGGCCTGCTGCTCCAACATGGCGACCGTCGCCCACGGCCGGCCGCAGTGCGGGCACCCGTACGCCAACGGCTCGCCCCGGTTCGCCGCCTGCGCCCGCAGCACGTCAATGCACGTATGGTGGTACGCATGCCGACAGGCCCAGCATTCATACAGCGCGCCTTGGTGCTCGCTTCGGCCCGTCTGGCACAGATCGCATGTCCCGGCGTCGCCGCGCACTTCCTCCAGCAGCACTTGGAGCTTTTTCAGGTCTTCGTGCTTCGCGTACGCGTACTTGCGGAGGTCGGGGTGCCACGTGGGAGCCATGGTCGCTAGTGTTTCATAGATGGAAATGTCGGTTAGGAGGTTGGTACTTTGTGTGGGGTTGATGGTATGAATGGGGTGAGGCGAAAGAATGCCATGCTCTTATATACTTGGTGCATCAAATTCATATCGCCACTACCCATGTGAAGACCTTCAATGAATGCCACTTGTTAGAGAGAACCGCCTCGGAATCTGTGGACTCGAAAAAGTATGGGTGGCAGGAATGGCCTGTATTGAGGAGAAGTACCTTTTATCCCAGGTCCTACAACCATCTACCCCGAAACAAAGAAAGCGAAAAGGGGAATTCGGCCAGTTTCTTCAGTTTCGAGACTAGAGGAGGCGCGACTCTTCGCTTCTCCGGTCTAAAAAATAAGAAGATATGGTTGGACCGTGAGGGGATTCTCGTCACAGTACACCTGAAAAGTCCCTCCCTCCCCCTCACTCTATGTCCGCACATGTCTACTCCCCCGAAAAACGCTGCCTACGTCGACGAATACATCTCCCCCTCCCATTGCGGCCACGACACCTCCGCCCCGCCCAGCCCCATGTCAAAAAGCTCCAGCCCCATAAAGCCCGGATACGCAAGCGCCGGAACCTCATCTGAGAAAGACCTGTCATGGAGAAGCGATTGCGCCAAGCCGACACCCTCCTCATCCCCTCCCACTCTCCCGGCGGTGCTCGACGCCAGCACTCGCGAATGTGGGCGCAATTTGACAAACCGCGCGAACACAATGTCGCCCAGCATATACGCCGTGTGGCTCGTTGGAAGCCCGATCGACCGCAGCCAGTCGACGAGGTTCACCACCAGACCGTCCAGGGCGTCCAGATCGTGGCCGGTGGCACCCAGATTTGACTCGTAGGTGTGCACGAGGCGACAGAGGGTGAGCGCCGCGAACGTGACGAGGTGGTAGATTTGATCTGTCAGGTGGCGGGTTCGGTCGTCTGTGGTGTCGATGGCGAGGTTGATAATGTTCTTCGCGTGGGGCAGCATTCCGGCGACGAGGGATGCACTGCTGCTGCTACTGGTCATGGTGGCGGATGACTCTTGAGAGGCCGATTTCAGGCAATTGCTGTAGGCGAGGAGGTGCGCGAAATGAAAGCCCATGCGCAGGAACTGGGAGCGAGGTTGCGCTGGAGGCATTGTTAGGGACCGCACAGCGAGTAAACAAGGGGAGGGCAGATACTAAACAGTGCGAGAAACTCTTGCTGCCAGTTTGCTAGAGCACGTTTCACGGTCTTGAGATCCGGTTGCGACCCGCAACACCTGCGGTAGATGATCCAGTAGAGCTTGACCTCGGCGATCATTCTGGCTTCGTAGTTAGTGATGCTGGCCGTTTGCATAAACCGTGCGCAGCGTTCGATGTCGACGTCGGCCAGGAGAGCCTGGCGGCGGGTGCCTACACAGTATCTGAGAAATAGGTCAGTAAGGTAGGCTTTGTACAAGCGACAAGGGGGGGACATGCTGCAAGTGAGCTAGGCATAGATGATTCCAAAGACACCATGCATCGATATGTCCTTGTACGGTTGGGAGAGCTGCGTCGGGTCGCATAACTTCCATAAAGTCCGGGCTAATCAATGCCTGCTGCAAACCATAGCCGGTCAAAAGCCAGCTGTCGATGCTCAGCGGCACTTGACCGATGGTCGTCGACCATAGGCTCAGGATCAGGACCGCCTGGAAGAATGGCGTCGTCTGTGGGACCACGAGTAACGAGGAGGTAACAAGGCGTTGTGCTTCTCGGAACAACTGAGGCGCGAGTCTGTCCGCAAGGTCTTGCGTGGTGTGTCGGACTGCAATTAGCAAGACACTGCACGTAAGGAGCGGCGACCGTCTGATTTGTGAGAAAAGGGCCGGCGTTGAGAGATCCTCTGGAAACTTCACCCATCGGCCGTAGTGGGTATGAAATCTACCAGCCTAGTGTAAGTTGGTGACAGTCCAAATCTTACGGAGGGTGCACACTCACAGTTCGACCAATGAGTGGGCAATAGAAGATGAAACCAGCCCTGAAGATATTGGGTCGGCATACGTTTCGGGACGAACTTCATTCTGCTCCGGTGAGCGTACGCCAGCGTCTAATGCAGCCTCCCTGATGAGGAGCACAGGAGCTGGATCATGATCAATGGCATTCTGTTCTTCTCTTGAGGGTGGTTTGTCGTCGAATCGGCTAGCTAGCGCATCGATTTTGGCGTCGAGGCGATCGATCAAACTCTCTACCGTTTTTTCCAGTCTGCCGATTCTGTGCTTATGGCTGTGAGCTCTCGACTATGCTCAATATCGGGAGCACAACATGTGCAGGAAGAGATAGTACCTCTCATCAACAGCACTCCGCTGATTTACCTCAAGAGCGATGGTTCTTGTGTTCTGAGTATGTTCCGGCAGGCAATGAGCTGACGAGCTCGACCTGTAATTAGGGCTTGTCGGCTCGGAATCCAGCGAGCAAGGCTGCGCTAGTGTCGCGCACCGAAGACAGCCGCTACCGGGTCCTTGGGACGTATAGCATCGTGTTTTGTTCTTGCGGCACGAGGTACACGCCTTCGAGGCCCTAGCCGATCGTACAGGAGGCATGGTTCGAGCAAGGTTTGAAGACATGGCGGTCGTCAAGAGCCTAACACTTCAAAAGCTGATTGAGCGCTTATCTTATCGGGAAGTGGGCCAATGGCGAAATTTAGCGTGGAATGGGGTGATAGCAGGTCCAATGTGGTTTAGCGGCATTGATAAGGTACTTGAAATTACCCTGCAGCTATACCTTGCAAGACTGTAACCTATCTTATGCACTTCACTATCCTTTTGCGTGGTGAACAAGCAAAATCAGCCGCAAGTGAGTCTAGTCAGCTAGCTCTACAAACAATCCAATAAACAAGTTCAAAGACATATTTGCTTTCTAGAGGCCCCTTAGCAAACAAATACTTGACTAATTGCCTGGTATTCAACAGTGATCATTGTATAGCTACATCTCCAGTTGATGTCCGCTCGGTGTCATTTTTCTCATGGTCGATCCTCCCTTCGGCTTGGATCGTAAGGTCTTGCCTGCTCTTTCTCCGCTATATTATCCTCATGATCGAACATGCGGTAGAGCACCTTCCAAACTAAAATGATGACGGCTCCTCCGATTGCGCAAGAGGCGGCAATGATAAGCCCACGGGTATACCGCGGTGCGTCTGTTTAGTTTTGTTAGCCTTCAAAAAATATAAGAGAGCCACAAACAAATCACAGCAACATACCCTGCGATCGGAACAACTGATTGCCAGGCAGATTCGCCAGCTGGATACTCATGACATACGCCGCCAGTGCCACCGGCCGCTTCCGCTCCGGCATCTTGGTCGTCAGCCAGGCGGCGCTGATCGCTTGGGCGCAGCCCATCCCCATCTGTGTCCACACGACTCCCCCTGGTGCTTGCTATCAGTGTCCGTTATGGGTAAAAGAATAATTCCAAGAAGAGAAAAAGAAAAGAATACATCATTCAGACAGAGGAGCACAAAGAAGAAAACGCACATACCGTAGAGCAACCATTTTCCACGAGAATCCGGCGCCAATGCCAACCACAACAGCCCCGCGGCGCCCCAAAGATACCCGATGGCAATGTGCAGCCCACGCTCCTGCGACCGGTCACTACTGTATGCCAACGTAATGGACAGGAGCAATGCGCCAGCGCTACCGACAGAGTTGAGACCATTGGCTTGCAGGCTGGTAAAGCCGAGACTTTTGATGATTGAGGGCGCATAGGTGTTCATCGGAGAGATCATTAACATCGACAAGAAGGCGGCGATCAGGTGTCCATAGAGGCGCCAGTCGGTAAAGGTGCTGTGCACATCTGAGAGTGTGATAGTCCGCCGCTGGTGACGCCCTTGTGCTTGTTGTGCCTTGGTGCGGTCGTCGTTGAGCACCCGGGTTACCAAGATAGAGGCCTCGCGAATAGTGAAGATATTGTAGGATCGACGAAAGAAGGTCTTAGGGCGGACAGGGCTGTGTGGGAGGTATAGGTATGCCACAATACCAAGAAAACACGTAATGAGGCCCTCTGCTTTATTGTCAGTCGGACTGTTTGAGGGGGGACTCAAAGAATAACTCACCAATCAAAAAAAGCCACTGCCACCCGTGAAGTCCATTTCGACCGCCTAGTGAGAGGAGACCTATCGAAAGAGGGCCGCCAAGAATGCCAGCAAAGCTATTCGAGGCCCAAAATATCGCATATCGCAGCGCAAGCTCCTGGTGGGTATAATACCGCGAGATGTAGAGGGCGAACCCGGGGATATAGCCGCCTTCAAGGGCTCCGATGAAGAATCGGGCGGCGATCAGCCCCGACTTATTCTTGATGAAGATCTGGGACCATGTGGCGACACCCCAGAGAAGCATTGTGATGGGCAAGAATCTTTCGGGGCCTATGTATCGACTGATAACGTTGAAAGGCAACTCGGTGATGATGAAGCCCACGGTAAACAGGGTCTGGGCCATGTTGATCGCCGAGTTGCTCACATTAATATCAGCCCGCAGCGTATCTGTCAAAGCATTGCCGATGTTCGTGCGGTCGAACTGCAAAAAGCAGAAGCAGACCACGATGAAAGGGAGGATGCACAAATCGGCCTTTATCTTGGCTTTGCGGATTTCTCCAACTGTGGGTTGGAGGTCCGGGTCATACCCCGGGATTGTGATAAGGCCATCGATGTGGTCGTTTGGCTCTTGGGAGTAGGTCTCCTTTGAAACAGGCACTATAGACATCGACTTGGTTGAGGCAGTCATACTGGCATCAAAGATCGATTGGAGCATAGCAATGCCTCCCAGCATGCTTAGGACGAGATCCCTCCATTTTTATCCTGCATTTGCTCCTTTCAGTACTGATCGAATTCTTGCATGGGATAGGTTGAGAGATGAGGTGATAAAACCATGTTCTGATATCAGAATGAGTATCACTGTAGCAGATATGCGGAGGGATCCGATGCCGGCGGGATGCCGCCGGCAAGCCGCCGGCCCGCGGCATCTTGTTTATGCAGGCACCCAATACCCAGTCAACGTCAGCACCGTCCATTTAAGAAATCGATTTCAACCCTTTGAGCTTTCGCCTCTATGCAGAATCACCTTCGCCAACGGACCTTCACATTCTCACCTTCCCAGCAATGGAGCAAAACACCCTGAAAAGACGAGGCGTTGGTCTCATCGGAGTCGACAAGCAACGGTCTTTCGGAGGCTACACACTCTTCTGCCCTCTCACCAGCGACCGAGCGCACCTCATTGACATTGATGGCAAAGAGGTACACACCTGGAAGCTCCCCGGTCGAATCGGCCGCCACGCGCGAATTCTCCCCAACGGCAACCTGGCCGTCAACACGCTTCGCCCCTCCCCAAACCAAACCACTCACGACGGCGGCCCACACCCCTTCCCCTTCTTCAACAAGTACGGCGGGGGTATCATGAGCGAGCTCAGTCCGGAGGGCACCATCGTGCGCCAGTTTACCGACCCCCTCGCTCACCATGACCAATACCACTACGGCGACGGGCGCCTGCTCTACACGAGTCTCGAACCGCTGCCCGCCGCGCAAGCAGCGCAGGTGCTCGGCGGCGTTCCCGGCAGCGAGATCGACGGCCTGACGTACGCGGACACAATCAAGGAAGTCGACGCAACCGGACAGCTGGTGTGGCAGTGGAAGGTCTCAGAGCACCTGCTGCCCCGCGCGGCGGAGTTCCCCCTGCAGCCGCACTACACCCGCGAGCACTACCCACTCATCAACTCGGTCCTACCCCTGCGCGACGGGCGGCACATCCTGGCCTCGCTGCGCTCCGTGTCCGCGGTGCTCATCATCGAGAAGGCCACCGGCGCCATCGTCTGGCACCTGGGGCCCGAAACCCTGGCGCAGCAGCACAACGCCACCGAGCTGGACAACGGCAACATTCTCATCTTCGATAACGGGGCCTTTCGCACCGGCGAGTCGATCACCTACTCCCGCGCCATCGAGGTCGACCGTGCCACGAAGCAGGTCGTCTGGGAGTACCGCGATCGCTCGCAGCCGATCGCCTTCTTCACGCCCTTCATGGGCAGTGCCCAGCGGTTGCGGAACGGGAACACGCTGCTGTGCGAGAGTACTTTTGGCCGGGTGTTTGAGGTTACACGCGAGGGCGAGATCTGCTGGGAGTATGTCAATCCCCACTTCGCGCCGTATCCCGATAAGGCGACGGCGCGGTTGTTTCCGGGGGAGTCGAATGCGTTGTTTCGGGCCTATCGGTACGGATTGGAGGAGATTCCGTGGTTGAGGGCGAAGCTTGAAGGAAACTTAGATAGCGGCGACATGAAAGGGGAACTATGAACAACTTGAAACGACCCGTAGCCTTCTTTGATATCACTGCTATCTGTTTGCCTAGGCGGCATAATAATAGTTAAACAAAAGAAGTACAACATCTAATAATACATATTTCAACCAGGCATGTCATTGATTAGTGAATGGTATTCGTGCCCTATCCTGATCACAGGTGGCGCTCGTTTCGTTGTTGGTTATGCTTGCGGGCCTCCCGTTAACAGTTAATCGGAAGCCAGACGTGTCTTCTAGTTTTTGGAACAGGATCAAATATGTCTATAAAGAAATCTATCGAAGGACCACTGAATAGAAGAAGGAGGAGAAGCTTTGTTGCGTCACTCCGGAGTCGACACATGAATAACATACATCTTGGGCGCCAATAAACAGGATTATAAGAGTGGAGCATCGCACGGACATATATGCAGCGGGACTATTGGTGCTTCCTCTCTTCCACCGGTTATATACAGTACACTCCTCTATACAGTATATCCTCAACGTGGAAATTCCGATCATGTTCAACGTTCTGTGGCACTCTACCCGCCAATTCACAGCCACATTTAGCAGTCACTCAGGACCACGTCATCAAACAGGATATGCGCGGGCGCCTCCTTCCCAGCGTTAACGCAGGAGCCGACAAAGTGCAGGGTCAAATCCCGCGCCGGGGGCTGAATGGATCCAGTCAGCTGGATCCACTCGTTGGCGTGCCAGATGAAGTCAGAGGCAATGGCACCCGCCTGGGGGTCCTCGCCGAGATAGGCGCTCACTTCGCAGTGGCCGGTGCTGGGGATGGGGTCGGCCACGCGAACCCACAGGGTGAGGTTGTGCTTGTTCTCGTCGTCGAGCCAGTACAGGTCCTGGGCGACGGAAACTTGGGGGACTTTTTCCGTGCCGGTGACATCACTAAGGTTTGTGAGGCGGGAGGGTTAGATGGGATCGAGGTTGAGGATGAGATGAGGGAGGGAATTGTTACAGGTAGTATTTGCCGGCGTGCGCAATGGTGCCCTGTACGATGTTGGCGACGTTTCCAGTGGAAGCGTACCATCCGTCGAGAGCGCCGGCCTCGAAGCTAGGGTTGTTGATGACGTTGCAAGGCATTGTGTCTGTGTTGAGGATGGTTTGACAATTTGCTGGGTGGCTGGTCTGATGTTGAGGTTTGATCGATGAGAATGGGATGGAGGTGGAAGCAAGGGGTTTATATAAGATGTAGGATACATCAATACTTCTGGCTATGTTGCTTGGTATACCAGAATATCATGGCTGCCGGCAAAAGATGTACTGCATAGGAAGGATCTGGGCGATGGCTGGTCAAGTCTCACGTCTAAGCCCCCAAAAGATCCCCATCTCGTAGCTCGGATCTCGCCAATAATCTACCCATATTGGTTCCTGCATCAGCACTAGGCTACTGTATGGAATTCACTTGGGGTAAAGGAGTTTAATTTGGTTCCGAAAGGGGTAAAAACCCAGTCTTCTGACAGATGTGAGATGGTTGCCTGACGAGCGGAGCCAACTCGCCAAGATAAGATGGACCCTTTGCTTGGATGGCGGCAGTGATCGGGCTCCACCATCTCCACAACTTTCCGGAGACCCTTCCGGGGTGGGTCCAAGTTGCCAGGCATCAATCAAAAACCAAGATGGTAACTCGATCCTTTCAGAATGACCATCCTTTAGATGGGCTGTTTGTTGCTCGATACTATGGCCTTGTAGTAAGTCACTGTCAGGCAGCACCTTTTTCACCTATGACCCTGAACATTGAGGATTACATCCGTATGTCAATTCTTGCTCAGTCGGTTTGAAAGGGTCGGTCGCTTATCACCCTTACTTGGTCATCATTCAAGGTCTTAGGGGGTGCTAACATGCTTTCGGTGGCTTACATGATCACCATCCATTCTACATAAATCTGAGGAGGAAATTTTCAGTGTCGTACTAGTTGAAGAATGGCAACACCTAGAAGGTACGATGAGGTCATGTACTCTAATTGGGGCTCTTTTCTCCGCCGCGCACCATGTTTGGGAGTGAAGGTGCAACTAGGTCAAGAAGCCGAGAGCATGTATTCTAGTACTGAAGAGTACGAGTTCAATGCATCTGATTCAATGGGCACGACTGATTTTACCTCTAACACGTCCACGAAGCTATCGGCACGGTGCAAGAGGAGCAGTACCTTCCTAGTATATATAAACGTCCATCTTGCCCCTTCAACATCACGCTCACGAAAAGGGACAGTTTTGATGAGCCTTCATCTAACTGAACCTGTTCCAGTTGGACGATGAGTAAGACCACCTCCATTTTGATAGAGTTATTTAGTACTACCAATCCACTTGCAGGACAGCTAGCGGTCTTGATGAAGGCCAATTCCAAGTGAGTCTGCCAGAGTAAATAGCGTATATATTTGGGCATGATAGTAACTCCTCAACAAATCGGCTCCTATGGCTCAGTTGGTAGAGCGCATGACTAGTAATCATGAGGTCCGCGGTTCGAATCCGCGTGGGAGCACATCTGTTCTCTTTTTGGCCATCTCTATTTTGTTCCATAACAACGGACATACATTCATCTTTTTATCTTTTCCTTATCGCTTTCCAGAAATTGACTATGTAACAACTCCTGATCATCGCAGATGCCGTCGTGCAATAGGCCCTTTTTCCGCAAGGCATGTTCCCGCACCAGATCCCAAACCACACATGCCAAATTAAAACAAACGTGACAAACAACCTTAAATACTAGTATCTCCTTCTAGGCACCCAGTAGTTTCTGCCTGGAATCTCGCTTTATGACAAGTTCTATAAATCTCCCAACCCTTTCTTTCCCCACCCTCTTCGCCTTATGCGAGGGCTCTCCCTGGCAAGCTTAATCAATCACCAAGATTCGCACTTCAAGCACCAACTAAGAATGGGAGACTGGGATATTTACTGTGCGATTTGCGGGGCCCCTTTTTCTAGCCGGGTGGATATTGACCCGGAAGGAACCGAGGGGAATCGTTACCGCTACGAGATCCTCAAAAACTCCAGCTTGAAATGGCTCGATGAAGTCCGTGCTCTAGGGATCAATGCAGACTCACCCGCAACCGATAAGTGCGCTACCGTTGCCTTCCTCTTGACATTGCAAACGACATGTGTTCTTATTAATGCTAGATCGTACTTAACTGGTCTTGGTTGTTACTCGGACATGGTAAGTAAGGCTATAATACCTACCCATCCGAGAATCAGTCTACTACCGGCTAACCTTCCAAATCAGGGGTGTATAGATGTTGTCATCGGAAATGGTAGGCCTTCCGGCGATCAACCTGGCTCGGGCTAATTTATGCTCTCTCCAGATCCCAACCTTGTCATGGAGCGCCCTGATCTGGAACCTCAAGAGGAGATTAGTCTAGTAGCGTAAGTTTCCACTGTTGACCTACCCAGACCCACTCTAAAACACACCCATAGATACCAGGATTATAACGACGAGGAGGCACCGCATGTCTTTCCTTTCCATTCCATCTGCTACGAGGAAATTCTTCTGCGATGTCTGTGGAAAGTGTCCAGGCAGCTCCAACGCGAAGTTCTCTTCAACGCATTTGATGCTTTGCATGATGCGGGCTACGTCAGGCTCAACGTGGACTACGGAGCGCCCAATCCGCCGGAAGAACAATACTGGAAAGCCAACAAGGGCGAAGAGGTAAGTTACAGCCACCACCCTGTTTGCGATCGTGCGTCAGAGACCATCGGCTAAGGTTTGTGAGGTCCTGATGGTGAACCCGGTCAAGATCCCCGAATTGGATGCTCAACTCAGCAAGATCGCCAAGTTTCGCGGGAAGAGTAATGAGTCGATGGCGAAGGCATGGCCTCCAAGACAGGATATATTCAGTCGACTGCCAATTGAGCTTCGTCATGAGATTTTCATAGCCCTGCCAGCTGGCTCGATCCTTGCTGTGAAGGCTGCTTCTGCGGTGATGCATGCGGTTCCCTTGACTGCCAGACTTTGGAGGCGGAAGTTGGAATGCGAGGTGCCGTGGCTATGGGAACTTGCGGACTACAACGTTTTCCAATCCCAGGAGGCGGAATCTCGGGCTTCAGAGCTGCTGCTCAACATTGATCAGAAAAGCCGATATACGTCTGAAAATGACGACTATATCTTTGGATTGGCCAATCGACGGAGGATCTGGGGTGTTTGCCAGCAGATTCAAAGTAAATACCTGGAGTTGCTCGAAGGCACGTCCGTTATGGATGGATGATGATACTGGTATGGTGGCTTGGCTCAGATGAGCTCCTCAACTCCTCAACCCCTCCCGTATATCTTATCTGAACTTGGATTGAAAGTGTATTCTATTACTCAGGAACACCATGATTAGACTGTTTCACCCGAGGCTAGGCGATGCAGTTTAAGTTCAAAGTTTCACGAGGCACCGCAATGCAGAATAGCGTGAACAGGTTGCTCGGGACCTACATGGCGTATAAAAGAACCCTGAAACCCCGGACCCAACGCTCAACTGCGTACATCTCCCACAACGTGCAGCATGTTCAGCATGGCATCCAGATCATAGAACAGCCTTTCTTGCAACATGAGCACGCCAGGGACCCTGTTCGATTTATAGTGACTGGAAGATACCTCGCCGTCCACTATGAGAATAGCCGGTTCATACTGGAACGCGACTATCACTGGAAGGGTAGCATATTCCACCTCTCGACCGATGAGACCGAACATTCTACGATAAAACATACATTGGAGAGCTTCAAGGTCATCCGGACTACAAGGACGATGTCTTCTATGTTTGTCAGCCTGGGACACAAAATTATCTCTCGAAGGACGGACAGTGGACGACAGACATCAGCGAGGCGCTGCACGTCCAGCTTGATCCGGGTGACGACCAAGTGACTCAACCACCGCCACAGACAACAACTGCAACGCAACGGCCCCACCCTTGATTCCGCCTCCAAGTAGACTTGAGCAAGTCTTCATTTCGGCCGACGGAACAGATCTCTACCAGCCCGATACCAGCTTCGTTCTCTATGCCATCAACAGCGGCTTCCGCAACTCTGGGGACGCGCATAACTTCGGAGGCGAGCTGGCCTTCCAAAGCTGGCCGTACAACTATGGAGCTCGATTCCAGCTGTCTTCCTGCCAGGGCAAGACCCGGCTCAGCTCGAACGAAGGGGGATACCTGGTTGTGACGATGGGTCTAGCGGATTACCTGGAGTGAGAATACCTCGACCATACCATGCGGAGTGCGTGTGAGACGTGCGAGCGGTGGTATCGGCTGGGCTTCAGCGACAGGCCTGCAGATGATGATGGGGCGTTGATGCTGATTCCGCGGGGTCTGCCGAGTATGTTTGTCTTGTGGGATGGGGATTGGTACTACGCGGTCAATTACCTGGAGGCGAGCTTTTCGCTGACGGAGCGGGTGAGGACGATTAAGGAGGCGGCCGTCTTTCAGTCTGTGGGGTGTGATGTGCACGATACGCTATGAAGTAGGTGCTTGTCCTCACTAAATGACACCCTTGGATATAGGTCAATGGGAAAGCTAGTATCGCTTCTACCTGGTCCCCGCCTGGGTGGAACATTCGTAAGATTAAGATTAGTACCATTTGAAATATCAATACCAAAAGCCATCTAATTGACGTATCGCATTGATAACAACCCCGAACCCCCTATTCTACTTTTTCTCATCAGCCACCGCAGGAGCCATAATCGGACCCCCCAGCACCGTCATCAACGATTTCCAAGCCAGCCGCAAGATATAGAGCCCCAAGGTCGCCAGATTGACCCACACCAGAAGAACAAGGTAGAGCAGCGCGCGCGGGGGGATCGCCTTGACGATCTGCGTGGGATCGACCCCGGTCTTCTCCTGGAAGTCGTTCAACCCCGCCAACGTCGAAGACTCGAGTTCGCTGACATCCTGCGTCTCGCTTGCGGTATCATTCTTCTCCACGAAGGCATCGTTGTGGATTGCCGTGAAAAGAAAGCCGCCAACGAGCGTTACGATGAACATGCCGACGCATTTGAAGAGTAGCTCATAGAGCCAGGAGAGGGTAAACAGGAGCAGGATGAGCGCGTTGCGCGGCGAGTGGCGATGCGCAGTGGTGATGGTTTGCGCGACTGTGGTGTTTGCAGTCCCAGAATTGGCAGATGGCTGCGATGCGATAAATAGACGACAGATGAGGAATGTGAGAAGGCTTGTGGGGACGATCAGGCTAAGCATGCCCCGATCGGAGTTGAGCGCGTCCAGGGCCGCAAAGGAGAGAGCGGTTGCGGTCCATGAGGCCAGGAATAGCACCGCGATGGCCTTGGAGATGGTTGGAAGAGTGGCCATTTGCGATTACTGTAAGAATGGAGAGTGTCGAAGTCGAACACACTGGATGAAATTATGGCTTTTTGTTTTTGGATCGTTTTTTGTTTTCTTTTAGAGGGGCGCGATGTGGCCTTTTTATTTTGGAGTGATCGGGTGGTGGCGGGACGCTAATAGGGTCTGATCCTGATCCACATAAAGGATGCCTAGAAGACCCTCACTTGGAGCCTAGACTAGATCCATCCTACTTGGAGGTACTTAGTGCTTACACCTAGTACGGAAGGGGACTTGGGTTAATAAGGTAGCCACTTCCATTTTTCCGCTCTAGACCCAACTTGGTGACGCCTTTTGCTCCACCAAGTTAGGTTAACTACTTATACATGTACTTCCACACATCTTTCATGGAGGGATGCACACCTAGACTTATATACCTCATTTTAGCCCTGTTAGAATACCTGTCATTTCCCAAGTCTTTTGAAGTGCAAGGATGTACAAGTAGAGACACCAGAGGTTGTAGAGGAATTGAGTCAATATTATGGAGGACAACAGCTATATAATCTGCGTGGGATTGAATTTGACAACATAAGCCCTTATTCAGACCGGTCTACGTCAGACAACCTGCATATATGAGTCAAGTTCACCATGATCCTGGCAGAAGGTCAAAGTGCTTGTAGCTGGATCTGGAGCTTATATCACATCGCGATGGGTGTGATAGATACCCCCTTTTCGAACCCCGGTTGTTTAGCCGGCGAAGTAGCCTTCGCTTCACCTGCCTCAGGATCCGGCTCCATCGCGCTCAATGTTGGGATAATTCCGGTCAACACAACGTCATTTGACGGAGGCGAAAATGATCTGTGCCCTTCCAACACCCACGCAAGTGCCATTGCGAATGCCAAGCAGCCCATCACCAGAGCCGTGTAGCACCGAAATGAGGTAGATCGGGGTGGACCAGACCCCAAAGTTCCATCGATCACATGCGGGCAATAGTTGGCCTCCGGTGATAAGAAGAATCAGGGCCGGAGAGCCTGCACCATCCCACTGTTAGCGTCTTTCATACGTCGCTAGGACTTCCAAAGGGTGTTAAATATCATACCGAAGCTGATGATCATACACGTAACTTGCGACCCGACGAAGGCGTTGTAGGCGGAGCTGGAAAAGAGATAGCTGGACTTTATGTCAGATCGGGCACCCACTGCGACAGAGATAGAGAGAAGGATATCTTCCAATGATACGTACATCAATCCGACAAGAGCGCAAACCAGGGACGGCAGGGTAATCGACCAAAATGGCAGATTGGAATTCGATGAGCGTTTTGTGAGCCTAGCGCAGCGCATTATCTGTTAGGGCTTCGACACCGAGTGCTTTTACCAATCCCAAGAATTCCATCGGACCTACTGAGCATTCCAAAATAAGCCACCGTCTCGAGCGAACGCATAGCCCTGTCGACTCATGGTCACTGCACTGCCTAGAGCCGAGGTAGCATTGTTGATAATCAAAATCAGACAAAACGCGATGGCGGCTGCATTACTTCCTGTTCCGAGTCGGATAATTTCCAGCACAGGCACTCTGCATGGTTGTGATCAGCAGTGATGTACCTTAAGCGAATTTGGGGGTGGATGGGGAAGGAAAGAAATCCAGCATACCGTGTGGCGCTACTTGTGATAGCGGACACGTCAGTAATAGAGAAGCCCAAGACGATGATCCACACCAGCCCGACGACGAACTGAGAAAGAATGACAATCATCATTATTCGCGGGAGTAGGATTTTCGCCCGGGGCAGTTCCTCTGCGAGATGAGCTGGCCCATCCAACCCCATCATGGTTCCGAAGCTATTGACCAGCCCGAGCAGAATCGCGAAGCCATGCGACTGGAATCTTTTTTTATTCGCCAGATAAGCCCTTAGCATTTTCTGTCCCCGAGGGCACATGTGGGAACACTATGGATGCCTTGCTTACCCCGTTTCATCGTTGACCTGAACAAACACCGATTTCGAATCAGCCTTGGGAGCCTTGACCAGTAGAGCGATGGTATAAGCCACAAATCCAAAGGCTGTCGCATAGCCTGTAGACATCACGTCAGTCATACTACCCTACTCAGGGCTTTACATAGGCCAGATTGCTTATGATACTCACAGCCCAGGAGTTCCATCGTCGGAATACCGCGGACAGCCACGAGATTGAACAGCCAGCATAAGGTGTTGATGGAGATGTAGACGACGAAGAGCTTCCAGCGAGGCGATACATCAATCTCCGGGTTGCACAATTTGATTAACCCTAGCGTCAAGGTAGCAACAATTGCGCACGCGCCCGCATGGGTGAAAATCCAGCCGAGATAGTTCAACCAGCCGAGAGGATACGCTATCTGACGGCGGTATTGGGGAGGGATCAGAAAGCATGCGTAGTGATAGGCGCCGCCTAGTCTTACATGAGCTGATCTAAAGCCGCATAGTACATCTTTGTTGAGTTAATGATGCACTGCTTACCTGCAGTAGAGAACCTTGATGCACACTGGGCGAAGGTCATCACCATGCAGATCACCGCGAGATTGGAGCCGATGCTGTCCACATGACGGTCAGATGCGAAAGGCCATAGGGCCTCAAGACGTTTCTCTGGCATGCACGGTAGTATGGTGGTTTGTACGTACAATCCATAAAGTATCACCGGGACACCGCCGGCTGGTAGCCCGACAACGATGATAAATGAAAGGGTCCCAAAGACATTGAGAGTCAGCCACCCTAGACCGATCGCACTCCAGAGGCCAAATATGTGGGGTGAATGTGATTCAGGCTGTATCGACATAGCGAAGATGATATGTTAAGCTTGTTCGCAGATTCGCTTAAATCTTGCAAGGACCCATAGCATTATGCGTCTGCCCTTTAAGAAGGAAAGACTTGTCTAGCCCCCTCGCTCGCTACTTTGGGCTGAAAGGATGTCGGCGTTTGATTTTGGTTTCGAGTTCCTATCATGAAAGATAAGATATCTTGATAGCATATTAGGGACAAGAAAGGAAATGTTGTACTATGACGCCTTTGTCACTGATAAGCATTTACATAAGCTCTATCGCAGACCAATAAACATGCAGGTGCTTTGGCCTGGCAGGTAATGTCGAATTTGCGTGATTTGGTTGCTCAAGTAGCCTGGATATTCCATGTTGATAACTTGACCTATAAAGTAACAATCTTCATTCACCGCTCATATGCGGGCGGCCAGTCCGGTGTATGTGGAGTGAGTTCACTGGCGGCCTCTGTATCTTTCTTTCTGATTAATTACGTATTTATAACGAAAGGACAGCACCCATGAAAACGTACTATCAGTGACAAAAGTCAAAAGCAAGAGCAGTTGAGGCCTACATTTGGACTTTTCAGGTAAGTGTACAAAGTGGCTGCAGTCTTCCACATATTTAGCGTCACAGAACCGTGGTCGACAAACAGCGCATCAGAGTAAAACGTTGATCTCCGCTCCTAGGTCCCTGATGACCTCCCTCCATTGTACCCTACCCTCGTGAGTGGCACTCGTTTGTTGCCATATGGCTCTGAGAATTGATATCACGGATAACGGTCCCTGAAATTCCAGGACCGTGTGCATCTCAGCCAACTTCGCCTCAAACCTTGAGCGTGCTTGCTCGGTGCGGGCATGCAGGGCAATCATGAACAGGGGGAACAAACAAGCCTGAAGCCAGGACAGTTTGTCCAGCGGCTCCATAGAAGACTGCACCAAGTCCTTGATCAGATCGTCGTTGGGTCCGAGAGCATATATCTCGCTGTACACAAAACACAGCATGCCGACCTTCCAGATACCATTGAAGTGCTGAATGGAGCTGACAAACTCTGCGGGAACCGTGGATATATTCGGATGCCATTGCCGGATCCTGTTGACCAAATCTGCAATCCGGGGCATCAAGCGCAGTAGCTCGTCCGTAGATCCAGTAGTGCTGATTCGAGCTACGGCAAGGGATTGATCGGTCGCCTCGCGCAGGAAAAGATGCATCTGATAGTCGGGCAAGTTGTCCCACCATTGACGCTGATGAGAGGCCATCTCTAGCCCTTCGGTGGAGCTGCCTCGGGATGGTACTAATCCCAGATCGAAAGGCGTGGCATCAGTTTTTGAGCAGGATTAAGTATAAAACTAAATCAATAGGGAGGGGTTCTCACATTCATCGATGCATTTAAGCTCGTTAAGAGTTTCCTCCGGTACCAAGCCTCTAACCAGGGTCTTGCCCATCGTGACTGCCCAGTTGTATTGAAGAAGCACACAGTGCAGGCCGGTGAGGGCCTTGGTACTCGTCGAGGCTGAGAAAGCGATTTCCAACAGTCGACGACAGCCTATGAGCTTCGAGCTCCATGTCGCCAGTCCGGTGCCGATGATCTGTGGCGAGTTAATGCGCTTTCTGCATGACGGGAAGAAGACTGCATACATCAAAGACAACGGACAGAAGAACAGTTACTCCCAGGCTCCATGCTTCATCCTGGCTTTTCAAGGCCTCGCGAAATGACTCTTGCACTGCTATGCGGTAGGGCTTGATGGCAAACCTGGGTAAACGTCCTTGTTTAGTGAGATGCAGTGCAGAAGCTAGCATGATTGATTTCAATAGAGGTTCCGACTCGGTTGCAAGAGCTCCATAGATTGTACGATAAGGATTCTGGTCCTTTTTGACTGGGTACAGTCGCAAGGCGAGGGTTTCCATATCTAGAAAGGAAGAAAAAAGGTCACCGTGTCGCTCAGCCAATGGTGTCCCGGAGAGTGGACTGAGACTCACAGTAGGTGAATAAATACTGGTCAAAAGGGTCCTGAGGAGTCGGTGGCAGGGTTATTGGCTCATGCATGAAAAGGAGGGAAGGGTCGAGGGTTGACATCTCCACTGCGTGCACAGGATCTGCAAAGCAGTCCCCTGCTGCCTCGGCCACAATGGGAGATAGGAGGGCATTGCGTTGCACCTCAGGTTCGACAGAAACGGTCCAGTCTAGATCTTCATCCCAATGCGAATCGAGATCTAGAAGAAAGGAGTCCTCTATCACCTCGAAAGGCGAATCCACGATCTCGCCAATTTCCATACTTTCCAAGCCTGACGTAGGACTCGGTTGTGAGGCCCGTGGAATGACATCTACTTCGTGGCCGGCGGGTCGGTTTCTCTTGATCTTGGACACCATCTGTCCTTTCCGACTGCCACGGGCTGTGAAGTCGGTCAGGACGATGCCATACCCTCCGCAGTCGACTCCGCGCAGGCGACAGTTCAAGCAAGTTGGCTTCTGCTCGTCACACTTCTGATGCCGTTTTCGACATGTCCAGCATCCTAGACCGATCCGAATGTGTCAAACCGGAAGAGATAGGATGAAGCCTCAGCATTGGGAAAAAGAGCCTACCACTTCTGGATCGCTTTCTGAGGTTATCGCCATGGCTGTTAGGCATGATGGGTGTCTCTGCTGTACCACTGCAGCGACCCGAAAGCCCAGGCAATCCTGATCAGTAGGGCGGGGAAGAAATTGATTGATACCCCGCCTTATCGGTAAAGATGCCCTTTTATAGAAGCGCCCCAGAGCTCGATTAGATAAGGATGGACTAGCTTCCATCCACTCCATTGTGGATTGTGGTATGCACGTCCCAACATACTTGCCAATATATGCAATTCGAATGTGTTAGACATGATTTTTAGTGGAACCGTTTTCATTGGCAATCACTATTAGGTAGGCCTTTCTCCTCCTTCAATAAAAAGAGAGAAAGAAAAAAGGAAAGAAGAGAACAAAAGAGAGAAAAAAGTAAGTAGAGAATCAATGCGTACCACAAGGGCGCTTTCTCTATATTTTGTAGAAAGAATAATTTCATGTGTATGGATAATGATCCCAGGTGAAATGGCGATTGAATAGATTCAATCTAACCCGATTTGGTGGTGTTAGCCGATGGCCTCTGTAGCCCATCTCCCGATATCGCATCGCAGGCCTTTGTCCCCATCCTTTGCATTGGTCTTAGGACATATGAGTCCTTATGACCTCGGCGGGATATGTATTTCCCAGATTATCCTGCCATTCAGTTCCATTGCCAGACTCTTTCGTCGTCGCGCTCTTCTTTAGAGAAACATGCGGAACCCTGAAGCCTTGGCGGCCCATGAAGGGTACGGCGATGATGTACTCTCAATTGTGAGCCGGGTTGTGACCTCAGAAACTCAACAGAGGGAGACTCTAGACATCGACTGTCCAGCCCCGCCAGGAAAGATCAGGCAGGGACTAGTCACTTGCCTGATACTCCTGTGCAATTTGATCCAGGTCTGCACCCTTCACGCACACAAAAAATCCCATTCTTCAGGGGTTTTCTCTCCGTTAATCATGAGGAAGCTGTCTAACATCGACGCCTCCGTCAGTTTACTTCAATGTTTGCCACCGTAGCCGGCGGCTATGGATTCAGTGCTCGACTCGGCCGGAAAGTCGGAGCTTCACAAGCGAACTGGATGCCGGCCGCGTATGGGTATGTGCCCCCAAACCGGGCAGAAATGAATTGCAACCGTGCCTTATACTGTAGGAAACTAAGTGCCGAGTGCGGGACTGCTAGGCCTGAGAGCTTCAGTTGATAAATTCTATAACAGACTGACCCAGAGTGCGTTCGTTCTGATTAGCGGTCGGCTAGGAGCAATCTATGGCCACCAAAGACTCCTTTTGCTGGGGGGAGCGATCTTCGTTATCTTCTCGATTTGCAACGCATTTTGCACCACGTATGCGTCGTTCATCGCCATGCGTGCGATGACCGGGATCGGAGGGGGAATCCTCATGCCGAACGCCGTGGCGGTGCTTACCATCATGATCCCGCCGGGCAGAGCCCGGAATTATACTCTGGCCCTCTTTGCAGCGTCACCGCCCATAGGCGCTTTGATCGGAGCATTGATCACCGGAGCGATCTTGGAATCTACGGATTGGAAATGGATTTTCGTGATCATGTGAGTCATCGATGGGCGGAAAGAATGCCCCTGCGAGAAAACCTCACATCCAGGAACTGAAACAGAATCAGTGCGTGTCTAGGCGTTGCAGCTTTTGGGGGGCTTTTCTTTGCCGCCCCGCCCGAGGAGAGATTGGCCAAAGATGGCAAAGTGGACTACGTGGGCGCCGTGCTTGGCCTGGGTGGGCTTATTCTGTTCAATGTTGCATGGAAGTATGGTGACTCTACCCCAATACTGCCGCTGTCTATAACTGATTTTCTTCATAACCCAGCCAGGCCCCGTCTACTGGATGGGAGACACCAAGCACTATCGTGATCTTGGTGGTCTCAGTGATTATGATAATCCTCTTCTTCGTCTGGGAAACATGGTATGCTGCGGAGCCGATCATGCCGGTGAAAATCTTCCAGGCCCCCAGTTTCAAGGCTTTGATTCTGGTCGTCCTTTTCATATACATGTCCGTTGGAATCTCACTGTGGTACATGGTGGCGTGGGAACAGCTGATCCGCGATTGGACGGTCCTTCATGTCGCAGTGGGGTGGATTCCCTACGGCCTCGGGGCGTCGATTGCGGTGACGGGGGCCGCCTGGCTGATCCCACACCTGGAGGCGCAGTATATCCTCGCCATGGGATGCCTCGCTTCCCTGGCGTCCCTGGTGCTGCTAGCGACCATGCCGGAGCAGCAGATGTACTGGGCCCAGATCTTCCCCTCGACTGTGCTCGGCAGTTTTTGCCCCGATTTCGTTTACGTCGCCGCTCAGATCATTGCCAGCAATAGCGTCCAGAAACACGAGCAGGGGGTTGCGGGCAGCCTGATCGGAACGTTGAATCTCTATGGCAATAGTCTTGGGCTCGGGTTTGCGGGCATCGTTGAGGTTCAGGTGGCCAAGCACCGGGAGTCTGAAGTCGCCGGCTATAGGGCTGCCCTCTGGTTTGGTGCCGCTCTTTCGATCTCGGCTTTGGTCTTGGATCTGGCATTCGTGAGACTACGCCATGTCGACCATGAGGATTGGGGCTCAGATCATACGCCCCCTGCTGGCCCCATAGTCGACATCTGAATAATGGGAACCAGAAAACGATGAAGCAATTGAAAACTCGATGGAGTGAAAAAATCAAAGGGCAAGAAGGTATAAAATGGTGAAAAGGCATTGCATATTTGGGGAGCAGGTCAAAAATGCGAAGCGAACTTGACTTTCCTCGGTAGTGGAGATATCCATCAACAATGCATTATGTACGGTGGGTTGAGAACTGAACGACTGGGGATTTCACCGTGGGATATATTCTATCCTTGGTTTCATTAAATCATACAAGAAGAGAACAAAACAGGAACAAAAGACAGTGATTGTAAGAAACAGGTCGCTTGCGCCAGAAGAATAGCCTCACGGACCAATCGGTTGAGTCAACGATGGAAAAGTCATATCCATACTATACAGAATCGCCAGGTAGCACTGGGATAGCCCAACAACAACTGCCCAAGTAATCCTAATTAGATACTGATATATGCGAGTTGCACTAAGGTCAGATCCTAGCCCATAGCCAGATTATTGCTTTCGTGGTGACTTAAAGTGTCAAGGGTAGTCGGCTGCTTCAAGTTGTATTAGGAATCGAGATGCATCTTACAACCTTTCACCGACGACTGAACTGAACAGTTCAAGATCTCGTTATCGTAGCCATGTGTTTTTCGGCCGGGGAATGTTTGCCCGCCTTTTTATTCCATGATTAAAGCACAGTTTAGATAATGTAGTGCAAGGGATATGCGGCGAGGCAGGCCCAGTCAGGGCTATCGGCAACCTTCACCCAAATAGGCCGTCATTGCCGCTCACCTTACATGGGCCTTATCATCCATGATACCCGACAGCATACAACTAGTGATTAACGTTGGATGTGATAATAAAGTAGAGTTAGTTCAAGGGCATGCCAACATTCTCCCGCAGTCTGCACAGGGTCTTTCCAAACTTGTGAGCTTAAACACCGGCATAGTCATGTCCTGCCATGTGCGTAACTAACGCCGCTGATAGGCCTAGACATGTCGACTCACTCATCGCGCCCTCTTTTCAGAGGAGGAAATTCTCGATTCCATGACCTCAGAGCTTCCTGCTCACGATATATGGCGGCATTCTGGATAACGCTATGGGTGATTCTGCCATTTGTTCCTCCAGCAAGAAAAACAAGGAGTTTGAGGTGAGTTTGTCGTTTCGCCAGGAAACCCGAATCCTTTATCAGTTAATAGTTCCATCTGATTTAACATGTGCATCCCAGTAGAAATGAACCTGAGTGATAGTCCTGGATGCGGCGTTCCCCGGATATTATGTAGACCTGTCGCCAGGCGGCTTGAGGGCTTAATGCTTGGTTCAGTCCCTTGTAGCTCGATGTCTATTTCACAGACCATTTTGCTAGATACCGTGCTACCAATAGTTGTGTATTCACCAAAACAAATGTCATCTTAGTGATAGAACATAGAAAAGGGCCACAGAACTATGAGAAATTGTAAGCTGTCTTAGTGGTCAGAGTTCGAACGATGCAGGTGTATCGTATACAAAATATACGAGCTCTCTTTCGATCCATGACTTCTGAGATACTCTTATAAATATGCAGGCGGTATTACAATCAGTATTGATCACGAGCTTGCAGAGATTAAGTGATAGCCGCATTGAGAGCAAACAGCCAGAGCATCGAATTCAGCAAAGCTAATACTATTTTGTACGGCGATCTTCAATAACTCTGTGAAGGCAAGCTACCGTTCACCGAACAAAACCTAAGCGACACTCGCTCTTTCAGTATGCCAGTTCGAACAAATGTACACGAAGGCCTTGCCTTAAGAGACTGCGCTAGCCACCTGGCCATGGAATTCGCCATAGCCAAACGGATCTTCCTTGCTTCCCAACAGCGTGATCGGATCCTTCATGCCGACATGACCACAGCTGGGGTGGCTAACCGAGTATCCAAGTAAGGCCTGAACCTGCGGCTCGTAGGTCCTGACCACATTCAAATCGACTCCTAGGTATTGATTTTCATCCGCCCGCAGCGAGCCCCGGGTCATGTGGCAGGAGTAGATAATGCGGCGCTCGGGGGGGTTCGTCCGGTTCTCGCCCGCCCCGTGCCATATGCTGCCAATGATAAACACCGCGTCGCCTTTCTGCATCTCGCAGGTAGAGCAGAGGGATCGATCCGCTGGGCCACGGATGGAGGCTTCAGGCCACTTGTGGGAGCCGACAATGACCTGAGTGGCGCCGTTGTCAAAGTTCGTGTCCTAAAAAGATGAAAGTGTCTTATCTGAGCTGCATGTTCTCTTTTTTTGGCGGGGAAAGGTTCCGTCTGAAAGGAAAAGAGAATTCTGCTTACCACCCCTGCAATCAACAGTCCGAGAAGGGAGCTCTCTCCGCTTCCTTCCAGATGCTCGAAGTGCTGGGCCATGTCGTCCCGATGGAGCTGCTGGGCAGTTGAGGGAGAGCCGCGGTTGAAGGCCTCCGACACGGCCAAAACAGGGTACGAGACCGTGTGGTATCTTTTCCCATCGCGATATACATTTCTATGGCAGCGGTCAGCCCAAAAAGCAGAAAAGAAAAAGGAATTACTCACGACTCTTCCTTCAGTAGCGCTTTGGCGGTCTCGCGGAATGTGGGGTGGTTAATCGCTTGGTGGGCAAAGGTTGGAGACTTCCCTGCAAAACCGCTGAGGGGGGGATCCGCGGCATCGAAGAGTTTCCCAACATAGGTCCCGAGCTTCGACCAGTAGGGTTGCGCCTCGGCATGGATTCGGTCGATGATTTCCGGACTCAGGAAGTTCTTAATGATGATGCCGCCGTCTCGTCGGATAATGTTGACGATGGCTTCGATGGGGGCCGTGGCATCAAGTTCTACCACTTCGGGGTTTCCAGCTTGGTGAGGGGGGTTAGGCATACTGTATCTTAGAACATACACAAAATAACAGCTAGTGTTGTAAGTCGTTGTAGTATGTGATACAGGAAGTTGTTGTCGCTTGAATTATTTATAATTATTGGGTTGCAGATGTTCCGCATTACTTAGGGCGAAGCCGAAAATGGAAATCATAGCCTCGGCAATCGCGGTATGTTTACGGTATTGATAGGATGTCGCTTGAAACGGCACCGATTGCACATCTTCAAGGTCATCAATTTGACGTGACTGAAAGCAGTGCGTTTCCGACTACTTACCACCTTTCAGTCAGTACTAGAGGTGGGGCAATGGCAGTTCCCGGCTATCACCACTCAATGTGGCTGTTCGTGGCGAATTCCGACTCATGGGCGACCCTACGCGCATAGGACAACCATTATTATCACGATCAGGACGGTCTGGAAATACTTAATCCTTCGTCTCGCCTATCTCCTTTACCTATTCGCCCGTTCTTCATAACAATTAACTACACCAAACTCGTCTACTCTTGCACTTGCCCTGGTTTTCCACCGCTATGCCCGCCGCGATCAAGCATTTCTCAGCCGCCGCTGCAGACCCGCACATCATCCACCAATACCTCAAAGCCGACGGCGTGGTAATTGTGGAGGGTGCCACCACACGTGAGACCACTGATACCATCCTGGAGGAAGTCGGCTCTGTTCCTGATGGGCAGACCTATGCCCTAGCAGCCAAGAGTACGACTTTTGCGACCCAGCTCCTGATGAACCCCCTCTACCTCGATCTCACCAATCGAATCCTTACCGACGCGTGCATCATATACTATGAGCAGGAGCGGACGGTGTCGATTTCGGAGCCCCAGGTTTCGCAGACCTCAATTTTGTCTGCCCAGCCAAACAGCCTCCCCTGGGGCCTCCGCCGTCAAGACGAATGCCACCACATCTCCCACCCAGCCAAGCGCGAAGCCCAGCTCGGGATCATGTACGCTGCGCATGATCTCACCCGCGATAACGGTGCGGTACGCGTGGTCATCGGGTCCAATCACTGGACCGACTCGCGGGACCCCAAGCCCGAGGACGAATATCTCGTCGAGTTGCGCAAAGGCGACGCTTTAATCTGGTGAGTCCGCTGTCAATCTCTAAGCCCCAGCGACAAACCATGCCCTGCAACATTACAGAACTGATGAACCGACTGTCAGGTTGGGCTCCACCTACTTTGGTCGCGCGCCCAACGTCACCGATCAGAATAGCGTGCTCTTGAGTGCGACCGCGACCGCGGGATACCGCCGCCAGGAGGAGAATCAATACCTCGCGGTCCCGTGGGAGGTGGTCGAGAGATACCCGACGCCGGTGCAGCGGTTCCTGGGCTATGCGGTGAGCCGGCCGTACGGCGGGTCCGTCGAGCACATGGATCCCTTGGATTTTATGAAGGTCAAGGGGGACTGGTCGAAATACGTCCCCGTAGATTTGATTTGAACTGTCATTTGGCCAGCCGTTGATGATATAGGAAATAATAGCCTCAACGACAGCCCAATCGCTCTCGAATTTTGATAGAATGACAAACCACAATTGCTGGGATGCGAGTCAATCACGGACAATGTATTCAGTCGCGGTCTCGGCTGCCGCTTTCCAACGAGGCCAGACGGGTTAAAATATGGGACGCATGGTAGAAAAAAATGCAGGAAACTCCCTAGGACGGGCTAAGAATATTCTCAAAGATAGCCTCGATGATAGCTTGGAGTAGGCTGGCTAAGTTCATAGTAACAAGCACACGGATGTAGATAATATTTAGCTAAGATATAGCATTCAATGGAAGCATACCAACCATCGCACGGACAAAGCGACCGTGGTGTGGAAGCGCCAGCTGCTCCTGCTGACGATCATCACGGTCGCGAACTATGAGTACATCTTTATGTGATACTTCGACTAGTTTGGAGAGATCATGGGAATGGAAGCTGGCAAACAGGAGAGTAAGCATTAGCGACGATAACGTTGGGGCTGCTTTCGGTCAGCTACGCACCAAAACAAGCCGTGTTTGAGAAACACCGATTCATCATATACATCGATGGCCTGAATACATACGGCGACGAGTGTTCTTACACTGCGCAAAGACCTTTTGGCATGGACTGATTTCGAGCCCCAGGATGTCAAGATATGTGTGACCAGCCGTGAGCATATATTCATTGACGAGCCTGGGCCTACGGGGAGATTCCGTCTCCAGCATGTGAGCTACACAGACATTTACCCATAGTGACCGGTAACCTGACCAGTCACCGTCCCTATCTCAACAGGTTAAACGTGCCGGACAGAAACACACTACGGTTGGACAAGATCAACCCAGATTACGGGGCGAGATACGCAAGGGGTAAGACTGTGGATGCTGCCATTTCGAAGCGGGATAGCTGGGGATAAGTACAATAGGAATATACTTGCTCTGGAATTGATGAAAGGTCAAGAAACCCTACAGTATGTGTGTAAATATATATATATATATATATAGTTATATCAAGAAGCGCAAACGGGTCTAAAAGAGGTAAGAAAAGGTTTGAATACACTGAACATGACTTATACCATCCTCAGGGGGCTCCAGCCAGTCCCTCTTTCCGGAGAAAATAATACCCTATAGCGCCGCCTTGGCGAGATTGTTCATGAATGTGGCATCCTTGAACGGCACCGTCGCCTTGCCGAAGTCCGCCCCTTCCAACCCATCTCTGGCGGCCTGTGGCAGCGAATCCCACGCCACGAGCGCCAGATCTCGGCCCAGCGTCTCCGTAAACTGCAACTCATGGTTGGTCGGGAAGCTGGTGAAGTACTCGACCTTGGGCCGGTCGCCCTGGCGCGGCGGGCTGGTCGTCTTCTTATACTTGCCGTGGCCCGAGGCGGCACCCCCGAGGACCGTCGGGCTGGCATTGCTGGGGTTGTTCACCCAAATGACCACGTTCTCCCAGTCGTGGCGGTGCGCCCCCGTTGAGACCCCACTGGTGGGCATGTCCTTGGGCATGTACCAGGCATACATGATCCCGTACCGGCCGTTGTACCAGCCCCCACGCACGTAGGTTTGGCCTCGCGACTGGTCACGGCAGCCGCCGGTTGCGCTTCCGGTGTCTTGGAGGCCTCCGCTGTTGTCGCTCGACTGTTAGTGAAATGATCGAGGGTTGAGACGGGAAGGAGGAGGGTGGCCTGACCTGGTATCGCCGTTAGCAGCGACAGCTGGGTAGGATTGGCAGCCGTGGGCGATGTGAAGGTAGGGCTCAAATTTCTTGAACGTGTTACCCACGGCGTCGTTGGGGACCGTCTCGGGGAATGGGGTGATGCTGTCATGGGGGACAACAGCGCGTTTAGTGAGCGGAGAAGCCTGCGCCGTGGCGAGGGTGGTGAGGATGGTGAAGATGGTTTTGGGAAGCATTGTGCTTGAGTATCAAGGGTTTGATGAATGTGAGTGCTGGCAGCGTGGTGCAAGTGAGAACTGAGATGTACGTGTTGACGGCTGGGTTCGAGCTCCCTTATATAGCTTTTCATGCGACATAGCTTCACAAAGTACGCAGGCCTCAATTCAAGAGGTTATGTCCAATACAATGCCTCACTGAAGGAGCCAAGCTCGTGTACTTGCCCCAGACAGCGAGGTCGAAACACTCACCATAGAGTGACCTTCGGCCGGATCATGGATCGAACGATTGCCAAGAAGACACAGCCTGCAGGGTCCCTGAGACGGTCGGAGGAAGATGAGTGGCAAGGTTCCAGTTGGTCAATTTGATAAGGTTCAACGTTCCTCTAGCTCGGCGGAATGGTTTATTTAAAGTTGGACATTGTATGGGATCGCATGGCTGGCATTGGATCGGTCTCGCAGCTCCACCTGCCAAGCCTTCCTTCGGGAGTCGGGGTTTCGTCGGAACATTCCTGTTCCTGTGATCGACACCGGCAGAGACATCAGGGGTTGTCTGGCTGGATGGGAGGACCTATCTGATCACTGAACTGAAATTAGAGAGTGGAACCTAGTTAAGAAATCTACTGTAGAGGTGCCCGGTTGGAGTGTGAACGAACACCTCTACCAGCGGGAGGCTCGGTCACCCCCCAATCTGGTCTGAAGCAAATCACAGACTTGGATTCTTCGCCTGAAGACTACAATGCCGTGCTGCTGCGCTGCTGCTGCCTGGCAAAAAATGACGACATGCTCACGGCAGTCTATTGGAGTATGGCAACGGGAGGTTAGGCACACTGACCTCGCAATATGCATGTTGACAATATCCGATTGGGCCGATAAGCAGGGTCAGTGAGCAGCCACCAAATTCGAATAGGCTACAAGAAGGCTGCAACATTCATACCAAGTAATTCCGACCTTTTCATTATCTCTGTGCAAAGAATCCCGTAGAGTACATAGAGTCCGCATCCCCAAAGGGCTCCATCGATTAACTGTACTGATTGACATTGCGCGGTCTCCACAGGTTCCTAATCATGTCTATGTATTTTGAGCAATCAGAGTCCTGGAATACTTCGGTATTGCCGAAGCGTAGCCCGGTGACTTCTGTAGGCTTTGACTTTACACCTCTCTTTGAAGACACTATCTTGTCGCTGCTACCATCAGCACTTTTCTTACTAATCCTACCATATCGCATTGCATGCCTTCATGGTCAACAGCCGAAAGTCTTTCCCGGAGGCTTTCTGCGCGAAAGCAAATCCATCTTCTTAGCCACACTGGCTGCGATTCACCTCGCGCTGCTGATCCTCCACATATTGAGCCCATCATTACGCACGCCCGCCACTCTTCCCGAATCCGCCGTAACATTCATTGTCATTCTAGGCCTTTGTCTACTTTCGCGGCTGGAACATGCTCGCTCTGTCCGCCCATCGGCCATTATCAACGGCTACCTCCTTCTGACTTTGGTGTTTGACATTGCCCGCGTGCGAAGCTTGTTTCGCGCCTCAGCTGCCAGTTCCCTTTCTGGAGTATTCTCCAGCATGATCGCCGTCAAGGTAACGGTTCTACTGGCCGAGGCAGTCGAAAAGCGACGGATCCTCCTGCCGCCATACCGAGAATTGTCGCCAGAAGAAACAAGTGGCATTTACAGTCGCCCCTTCTTCTTCTGGCTGAACCAACTCATGAAATCGGGCTTTCACCGTGTCCTTCAGAACCAGGACTTGTATCCCATTGACAAGGACATGTCCTCCCAGGTTCTTCAACAGCGAATCAAGAATGTGTGGAATATGACGGTACAGAACAAGCCTCGAGCCCTGTTCTGGGCAGTGTTACGTGCCAACCTGAAGCCCTTTCTCTATTGTCTTCTTCCCCGTTTGGTTCAAATAGGGTTCAAATATACCCAACCGCTTTTGCTAACCCGCACCGTCAGCTTTGCGAATGATGAGAGCCAACCTGAAAGTATCGGCTGGGGTCTAATGGGCGCCTTTTTCCTCGTTCTCCTCGGGATTGCTCTGTCAAACGGCGTGTTTTATCATATGACCTTTCGGTTCTTGACCAGTGCCCGTGGAAGTTTGATCAGTATGATCTACGCCAAAACGTTGGATCTGGACATTACGGCTCTCGATGAATCAGTTGCAGTGACACTCATGTCTAGCGATGTTCAGTCTATTTGCAACGGGTTACAGCTGGTTCATGATCTCTGGGCGGTACCTTTGGAACTCGCTATCGTGGTCTATCTCTTAGCCCAGGAGGTCAAGATGGCAGCGATAGTCCCCGCTGGGCTGGCACTTTTCTGCACTGTCGCCATTCTGTCGATGGCTAAATACATGAGCAACGCACAGAAAGCTTGGATGAAAAGCATCCAAACGCGAGTGGATGTCACAGCAACCATGCTAGGGTCTATGAAGTCAGTCAAAATGCTGGGTTTCACTGACTGGCTGTCGTGGAATTTACAACGGCTTCGCGTCCATGAACTTCACGAGGCAAAGCTATTTCGCCGCTTGCTCGTATTACGTGTGTTCCTTGCGAATAGTCTCAGGTTTCTCGCTCCACCGGTCACGTTAGTCATCTACACGTTAGTAGCCAAACAGGGACATGGGTTGACTGTGAACTCGACCTATTCGACACTGTCGCTGATCTCGCTGGCTGCCTCACCGGTTAATGTTTTTATCCGGGCCATCCCTGCCATGAATGCTGCGTTGGCCTCGTTTGCCCGCGTCCAAGATTACTTGCAATCAGACACTAGACAGGATTATCGCATCTTCATGGAAGATCCTCCAGCCTCGGCCCAGCAATCCCAGGCAACCTCAGAGAGTATAGAACTTGCACATATGAGTCGCCCCATACACCACGTTACTTCGGAGGTGATCGCAGCCCGTGATGTGAGCATATCATGGAGTCAATCTGCATCTTTCTCAATTCACAATATCAACTTGAGTTTTTATGAAGGACAATTCTACTTCATAATGGGACCGGTGGGCTGCGGGAAGAGCACGCTCGTCAAGGGTATTCTGGGTGAAACGCCTTCAACAAAGGGATTCTTGCACGCAAGGCACCGAGAGACGGCATTCGTCGATCAGACGCCCTGGATCTGCAATATGTCGTTCCGCGATAATGTTGTGGGTGCGTCACCATATACCGAAACATGGTATGACGAGGTTGTCAACGCATGTGGACTGGGCCAGGATGTTGCTCATCTCCCACATGGCCACGGTGAGCTATCCTTACCTGAGCGCCTGGTCTGCCCATTACAAGTCTAACCCACAATGTCAGCGACCAAGGTTGGTTCATCTGGTATCTCCCTCTCCGGTGGACAAAGACAAAGGCTGGCCCTGGCTCGTGCAGTGTATGCGCGTAAGAGGGTTGTCATTCTTGATGATGTTCTGTCAGGAATTGATCTAGACACGCAAGACCATATTATGAAGAGCCTGTTCGCGAACCAGGGTCTCTTTCGTCGGCTGGGCACAACGGTAGTACTGGCCACTCATTCTGTACATAGTCTCTCCTATGCGGATTATGTCGTCGCCATGCAAAGTGATGGGTCAATTGCGGAACAAGGTACTCTGGAGGAGCTCGAGGCGAGCGGCGGCTACATGAGCACCTTGAGGGCCCAGTATAAACATCGAACAGCTAAAGGGTCTAGTTTACACAAGCTTCCAGCTCTCAATGTTGCACAATCCGGCTCCGAGCAAAGTCCGGAGATTGAGGCCACGAGCCAGGAGTGGACCAGGCAAAGTGGAGACTGGACTCTTTACCTGTGGTATTTTGGCACTGTGCACTGGGCATCCACGGCTCTCTGGATGAGTTCCTTCATCTTGGAAGGCATAATTCCCAAGTTGAGCGAATGGTTGGTTAATGTCTGGATGAGCGCAGTAGCTCGCCAGGGCAGCGCCGTCAACTCTTTCTACCTGGGTCTTTATAGCATGTCATCGATTATCACGGCGTTGACACTTGTTGGTGGCTCGTACCACTTACTTATGTTCTTCGCGCCCCGCAGTGCTGAGAGACTGCACGAGCGTCTCCTAAATTCGGTCATGCATGCGCCTCTGTCGTTCTTCACTTCGGTCGACACTGGCACCACAGTGAATCGGTAAGCCGTCCGGCAGAGTCGATTCATGCCCTCGCGTCACACTACTAACCACAAAATATAAACAGGTTCAGTCAAGATATGACGCTCGTTGACCATGACTTACCATACGCCGTCCTAGATTTCGTATTCGCCCTAGCAGGCGGGGTTATGTCTGCGATCATGATCTGCATCTCGACCCGGTACTTCGCAGCCGTAATTCCGCCCCTGTGCCTGTTCCTGTGGATGCTGCAGAAGTTTTACCTCCGCACCTCCCGGCAGATGCGGCTGCTCGACCTGGAGGCCAAATCCCCGCTCTTCTCGCAATTCCTCGAGACCCTGTCCGGCTTGGTGACTATCCGTGCGTTCGGATGGGCATCCGTCTTCGAAGACCAGAGCCTGGCCCTTCTAGACGAGTCGCAGCGACCCTTTTACCTGCTGTTCTGCATTCAGCGATGGCTGGAACTTGCGCTGGATCTATCCGTCGCGGTGCTCGGTGCAATCCTCATGGTGCTAGTGGTCAAGCTGCGCGGGACACTGGGCACCGGCTACGTCGGGCTTGCCATCCTGAACGTCATCACCTTTAGCCAGTCGCTCTCGCAGATCCTGCGCAACTGGGCGGACTTGGAGACATCTATTGGTGCGATCGCCCGCATTCGAGACTTTGTGACCCAAACCCCTTCCGAAGATCAACCTGGCGAGACGGTGGGGCTGGCCGAGGATGTAGACTGGTCTTCGTGGCCGTCCAGGGGAGCTATCGAGTTCCAAAACGTATGCGCATCATACACGGCCGGAGACTCAGACCTCAACCCCGTTCTTCGCAACCTATCCCTGTCAGTGCAAGCGGGACAGAAGATTGGCATCTGCGGCCGCAGCGGGAGTGGCAAGAGCTCCCTTCTGGCGGCCCTGTTCCGCCTGCTGGAGATCGACCCCCGTGGTCGCATCTTGATCGACGACGTCGATATTGCGCGAATCCCCCGGCAGATGGTCCGCAGCGCGCTGAATGCCATCCCACAAGACGCGTTCTTCACCCAAGGCACCATTCGTCTCAACCTGGATCTGGGGACCCAACAAAGCCATGAGGAGGTGGAACGAGCGCTTCGCCGTGTGGGCCTGTGGGCTGCGGTGCAGACAAAGGGTGGAATTGACGTTGCCCTGGACGCGAACGCGTTCTCGCACGGCGAGCGGCAGCTACTCTGTCTTGCGCGGGCACTTCTTCGGAAGAGCAAAGTCGTGGTGCTGGATGAGGTGTCGAGCAATGTAGATGTCGTGGCTGATGCACTGATGCAGCGGGTGATCCGGGAGGACTTTGCGGGCTGCACCGTGCTGGCGGTCGCGCATCGGCTCGAGACGATCCTGGATTTCGATCGCATTGCAGTGATGCACGAGGGTCAGCTGGTCGAGTTCGATACGCCGGAGGCACTGCTCAGCACGGATACTGCGTTTCGGCGGCTATACCAGTCGTAGATCTGAGGAAGAGGCAAGAATGGAGGCGGAATATGCCATCCTGTAACTGCTGTACCTCAGAGCCAGCTGCTACCTGAGGTAGCGCCGCTCACGTATTGATAGCTTTTTCGATCTCAAGACGGTATCGGCAATGGTATTATTGATAATGAATATTGATGTTCCGGGCCTTTCTGATTCAGACAAAGCGCATAAAATCAGATCGGCCGCAGTTTCGGCACATTGTTGTGAGAACCGACACAACAACTCGGGTATAGAAAAGCCAGGCCGTGTGGGGACCTGGCTATCTAGCATGCTAAGCAGGTTTCATGCGCCTTGAGTTTAGTGCTTACGGCTCGAAGCTGTATTTGTGCCTAGAAGGTAGCCGAGCCACCCACTAATATCTCCCGCGCGCTGATTTCTCCACCAGAAGCAACGAATCAGTCGATCATCTTCGATGATGAGGGTCGTTGTGAAGAGCCGCTTGAGAAGTGCGGTGCGGAGAATAGTTGCCTGGCACCGTTGCTCGCCAGCAGGTTTAAATCCAACGACCACCCCTCCCTCTTGCTCGCACGAGTAAGGGCTTTTCCCTCCCCGATCTGTCTTTTTCCTCTCTCGCATACCTAGGTAAAGTCTCACTGGAGCTCTGGGTCCATGCATAGGACTGATGAACCTGCAGATACCAAATTGCACCATGGCCGTCACCGTCCCTAGCCATGTCCCCGCCTACTCCCTCGGAGCTCTCAGCATAGCGCTGGGCCTCAACGCCATTTTTCGCCCCGCAGCAGAATACCCGCGTTTTGGTTTGCCGTTGGAGGCCGGCCGTCAGATTGCACCTTACCAGAGCTCCTCCGTCTCCCCGCTCATGTATCTGAAAGGCATCCGGGAAATTAGCTATGGCCTGTTGCTCATCGGGCTACAGTCCCAGAGCCAAGAACCGGCCATCACGACGCTGGCGGCGGTGATGGCCTGTGTGGGGCTGGCGGACGGCGTCGTGGTGTGGTGTTGTGGAGGGGCGGAACAGAGACAGAAGGCTTGGGGTCATTGGGGCACGTTTGTAGTGATGGGGGCGTGGGCCTGGTACCGGAACTCTCCTTGGTGAGGTTGATTATTTCTACTGCGGAACTGCCGGAATTGCGGAGATTGAATAAGAGTACAGCTCGGAGACGCCATTTGATTTGTTTATATTAGGGAGATACTGCGATGGTGTCGTGCAGCGCAATGAGATTCAATACTGGATGACGGCGATCACGAAAATTCGGAAAGTTTCAACTGGTTCGGTCTGGATAGGCTGGACACATGGGAAAAAATATCCAATGAACGAAGCAGAAAATACAAAATTGGAGCTGGTCTTGAAGGTCGAATGATACCTCTCGCGTGTTAGAGAGTTCTGGTGGGCACTGATCTGACAGAGGTGAAGCTCATGAACCAAGGAGAGGAAGACTCGGTGCGAAACCACATTAGAGAAACTCGGAGGAATCTTGGGGAAAGATGTCGTGTTAGGACGCAAAGTCCTCAGGCGAAAAGAAGAAAGACATCATCAGGGTTCACCGCGGAGCTGAAAAAATCACACGGGGAAAAGTTCCCCGAGATGAAGCTGAATTCTGCATTAGGGGAAGAAGCAGAAACATAGCTGCTCACAGCTTTGACCAAAAGTCTTACCCAAGGCTGGGAATCCGAGTACTTGAGACCTCTGGGAATTTGTAGAAACCACTCTCACCTTTGTCACTGGCTCCTCCAGCGGCGTTGTCAGAAGCAACCTGTTGGTGCTGCTGGCTCGAACCCGAGGCGGGTTGGCTATGGTCTTGCGCGCTGTGTGTTGGATCCGTGTCTCCTCAGAGCCATCGCCCGGCCTCGATACTAGAGCTTACTGGATGGGCAAGCTGGTGTGACGAGGTATTGACGACGACCTATTTGGGACTTGTGATTGAGGAGACTAGGAGGCGCAACAGAGATGTCCCGGGGATCGCACTAGTATCTTCAGAATGTCAAAGAACGCGCTTGAATCTCTGCGAGCCCTGCACGTCACACGGCACTCGAGATTACTCAAATACTTGCAGTCACATCCCCCGCACGCAGTCATGCAATCACCATGACTTGATCGTATATGCGCACGGCGGTGTTGATATGGTGTAACATCGGACACGATTTTTTTCCCCACACCTTCCTATGTAGATGAAGCGCGCCCCTCACCAAGGAGCCAAAAGCATCAAGAAAAAAGTTCAGTTATAGGTCTGTCGCGCGTCGGACGTGTTACTCGGTATGCTTTGACGAGATGAAACCCAGAGATGCCCAATCGCATTGCCTCCTGTGAATCGATAGATGCTGAGTCCCGCGAGCAACCGTGCGAGCAATTTATTTTCGACGCTCGAGACTCGCATTGATCTGGAAACATTTCATAAGCTTTTGAACAGGGTAGGTCCTGGTCCGATATCGTACGACATTCAGTCAAATGGCAGCGCTGAAGGGATTGTTAAAGAGGCGGGGAGGCCGTCCGGTGATGATCAAGACGAAAGCTAGTCGAATACATGAAGCCGCCATTGCGGATCACTTGGCACACAAGCTGAAGGGAGCACCGTGGGGAAAGGAGTGTGTTGAAAGATTATAGACAGACTCACCATGGAACATAGGTTGAACCAAGGGGTACAGAATATGACAGTGTGTAGTCACTATTCCGACGCAGTCTGTTGTGTTGCACATCAAATCGGCGTTCCTAGCCATGTTCACTAACCTCCAAATGTCTTTCATTGGCTTGGCATAGATATAAACAAGTCAGTGTCACCGCTGCCCTTTCTCATGGTATAATCAGATCGGTCTGTTGTGCTTTTGCCTGAGGCCGGACTCACTTGACTCATTTGCGTCAATCAAATCCTCGTTAATCGCCTTTCTCTCAGAATGCGGGCAATTTCTGTTCAACTGTTGCGACAGGAAATAGGTCTATATCCAGGCCAATGCTCCCCGCACAATACTACATCCTTTCTACACTCCACGCGACCTGAGGTCGCTTGGTAGAATTCCACCTTGCTCAACAAACGTGATATTCGACTAACAATTGTGTCCAATTGTTTACTACATAATGCACTTACAGTATAACCAAGAATCCAGACGGAACGTAGTGCTTCAACAGGCATTCCTGCCATGGAAGTGGTCGCTCTACGCGTCGCCAATCACACGCCTTCATCAAACGGTTAAAGCATCCCCATGAATGACCTGAAAATAAAGTCAAAGAAAATCAGAACTGGTGAATTGAAAAAGGCAGAGACTTTACCAGTTTCGAATGGTGACAATCACCTTCGAGGCTTGAGGGTCTGGCCAGGTCACGGTGTTTGTCTTCGATGACATATTGTTATACCACCAGACACGCTACCGTATAGGCCTCTTCCTGGAAGCTCTATCCCTTTAGTTCATGCGGCTTGAAGCAGCTGACGTCCCTGTCAAAATCTTCACTGTCCTCACCACACATTCTTCAGCGCTCTTAGACGCCTTATTCTAGCCCGTTTCTAGGTAATTCCCAGCACGGTGATTCCTATGGATGAGAGAATGCCGACGCCTAGCATACAATAAAGGCAAGGAAAGTATTGAGAAATACTTGTGGCTTCGATGGCGTAATTCAACTTTTTTCGCTGGACAGGGCCCATGACGAAAGACCCCATGACTGTCAGATCAAGCACAGCAGGGAGTAAAATCAGCAATTCTCTACGTCAGTCATCATATTTACCCCGGTTCCTTGCGTGAATGAGGCTCTAAAATTGACGTCAAAGGTAGGATGACGCCGAGCAGACGGGTGCCAAGTAGACGGTATGGTGTGGATGCTACACAACGGACACTGCCGGCGTATACCTACAATTGCATCAACATTCCTTATAACCGTCATAATTAAGTCAAACCAGACGTGAGCTTGCACTTCACTCTATGACCGAAGACATGGGAGAGGGATGATCCGTCCATATCAGGATGGCCACCAGAGCCGGGCTAGAATTCAACAAGCTATCCTAAATGTCCAGTTCCGCTGCGCACCATTTCATAAGGATGGCTGCAAAGTAATCGATCGTGATCCAAGGTTCATCGAGGTCACTGTCGATGACCTACCTCAACGAGGTGCCGTAGAATGAGCAAAACAGGGAGGCGCCAGAACGCAGAGGTCAAACCTTGTCGGGGGGGAGGGGAAGAATGAGGCGCATGTAGTCTGCCTGACAATCTTGCCAATAACGGCAGATGGAAATTTGCGGAGATTATATCCTGAGGGGAAGTGAGACAGTGCAAGAAAAAGTCTAAATCAGTCTGACTTGACATCGAGTTCCCCTCCCACTCCGCCTAGACTGTATCCTCTGGAATGCCATATCATTCCTGCCGCAGATTCCCCAACTTGGCTGTCCAGCGTAACCTGTACAGTACCCTACAATTCACCTATTCCTGCCGGTGCCGTGTTAGTAGAACTATCGCGATGCCTATGCTGTCCGGAAGTGTTGCCTCCATCGCAATGCACTATCACAGTCAAATTTACACATGCACAAGCCTGCGCAGGCTCGTGCAGAGCAAGAGAAAAGATGATAGCAATGGCCCTCGCATTTGTCTTGCGAAACCAGGTAACTCGGCGTCACTCCAAGATCACTAATCGTCCAACTTGTGACCTCATGCATGACTCGCGCACTGGATGCATGCATCCAGCGCCGCAAACAGAGACGCTGCAGTGCTGCTTGTGGGCTAGAAACCTTAACCACTGACCCATGCGATCGTTGTGTGGAAACGGTGGCAAGGATGAAGTCTGTCACCGGGCTCGGATATGCTACATCCGCTCGGAGGCTTGAGGCTAGAACCGATCTGTCCCATGTTCACTAGTTTGACCGACAGTGACAGGATATGTCTCTCGCCGTCTTGGTCGCGCCGAACTGGCAGACAACGCTTTGATAATCGTGACGCCCTGTCAGGGAGCATCTGGATATTTTGGAAGTAAATTGAACACGCTTCAGGTGGGCTGTTCTTCTTGTGATTGCAAGTCCCCAAAGACATTGACAAAACACTATTATCATGACAGGCCCATCGGCGACAAAACTTGGCGAGGATGGCGGGGCTGGATCTGAGCCCTATCTCCATCTCAGTAAATCGCTGCGCTTCTCGAATCTAGATGAGTTTCAGTACTGGCACCAACATGGACCCATGTTGGGAAAGTTACTGTGCGACGGCAACTACAGCGTGCACCAACAATACGAGTATCTCTGCCTCTTCGCCCATTTAATCGTCCCTTCGTTGGGTCCCTTCCCTAGTCCTGGTCGCGAGCTCTTTCAATGCATCTTGGGCAGCATTGGACCTTTCGAATTGAGCCAGAATTTCACCAAGACCCGGTCGACTACGCGCATCGCCTACGAGCCGACCAGCCACAGGGCCACCACAGGTCAAGATCCGTTTAACCGTGCCCTGTTACCCAGCGCTCTACACGACCTAAAGGCCACCGGCGCCGCGATCAATTTAGACCTACACCATGCCCTGCTCCCGCGTCTGACACTCAGCGATAGCGATGTGGCACGGCTTCCCCAATCTCAGACTGCGCAGCTGCCCTTCAAAACGCAGACGATCCTCGCGCTGGACCTGGATTCAGCCGGCATCTCCGTCAAGGAGTACTTCTACCCAACGCTCAAAGCTCAAGTCACAGCCCAGTCTCCCACGCAGCTGTGCATAGATGCCATCCGCACCATCGACTCCGAGCAGCTCTTTGCGCAGGGGTGCGACGCCCTCCAGGAGTACCTACAACAACCAGAAAAAAAGACGGAGATCTTCCTTGTGTCCTGCGACCTGGTCGACCCGCACCGCACGCGGCTGAAATTCTACCTAGCCGAGTTCGACGTCCGCTTCGACCGTGTCGTCGAGCACTGGACAATGGGCGGCCAGCTGAACAAGGAGGACCCGGATATCACTGAGGGCCTGGCGATGCTCGACGAGCTCTGGCGCGCTCTGGACATTGTGGAGGGCCCTCGCGCCTACCCCAAGCGGCCCTCGCAGCCCGGGGATCCTCCCACGTACTTGCCTTTGATGCTCAATTACGAGATCCATCCCGGCCGTCGCGCACCGATCCCGAAATTCTACTTCCCCATCTCCGGCATTCCGGATACCAAGGTCGCAGCTGTGCTGACGGATTTCTTTGAACGTCATGACATGCCAGATCAGGCTGCTGTCTATGCTGCGAACTTGCAGAACTACTTGTAGGTTTATCTCTACCCTCAACCGGGGTACTAGACTCGGGAACAGAGTCCAGGCTGACTGGGACA